TCAAATCTAAAAAAGACATTAAAACTTAAATGAAACTCTAGTGAACAAAGATCACCAAACACAACTTTATCCCAACGTGTTTTGATATATGAAGATTTTTTGGACGATGCAATCCGTAGTTATTGAGAAGAACCTTTCAGTCCTAGTTTAACCACCTCTCAGACTACGTAAATCAAGGTATTTGATGACCCCGGGTTAGCAGAGCCATGGACATCTTGATCAGGTTGTCTAAAAATTTAAGTCTCAACCAACAAAAATAAACATTTTTTTTTTGCTAACTCTGTTTTAAAGGACTAGTCGAGACAAGGAGTGGACTATCATCTTAGGATTTACTAACTTTGTTTGACAAAGATGAGCAATGAAAATCTGGAATAGAAGATGAATTTCAACTAAACATAAATCTATAAAATAATTAACTCTTTAGGATACTACTAAACTTTAGAATGAGACGTTGATGCTTCTTTCTTTGACTAACACATAAATCTTCTGAGAACATTTTGTTAACCTTAATCAGGGGTTTTCTTAAATAGTCTTCACTATTTAAGATTTAATTAACTATAGGGGGTTACCCTTATAAGATGATAAAAAACTCCAGAATGAATATATCAATTTGAATTCTTTAATTATCAACTTTCATGTAGATTCCTCTGAAATTTATCTTTAAGGCATTTCTAATATATGCTTTAAAGATGTGGGTGTCTAATCTTCATGAAAGGACTCCCCACATATTCCTTTTATTTTTTTCCTGTTATTATACGCTAGTCCTTTAATCCTTCATGACAAGGATTAGTCTAGTAAAGGGCAACAAAATAGTTAACAAATTGGAAACTCAACGACTATAAGAACAAATTGAAGAATAATGACAACAATGAAAAAAAAAAAGAGCCGCGAGTTGATAACAAATGTAAGGAGAGCGAGCGGGGGATCAGTGCCAACAACGAGCTTGGGAGGGGCCTCCAATGCTGGCATCTTCCCATGTCTTTGGTCCAAGAGTCCTATGGCCATGAACTTTTTCAACATTACTAACTTGACTAAATCCTCAATAAGGTTTTGAAGGTGTCTACATTCCTCCATGTTGTGGTCGTGACCCTGATGGTACTTAAAGTATTTTCTTGCATTTTGGAGAAAACAACTGGTTCTTATCGGTGCGAGCTTCTAGAAGTTTTTTTTTGCTTGGATGGCATCCATAATTTTTGTCATTGATACCCTCATAGAAGTGGCATGCAAGCCCTTATTATCTCTGAATGGTTGCCTGTATTGTTGTGCTGGCCTCTCATAGTATTGGATTGGCTGAGGTTCTTGATTTCTCACTTGTCCGTTGTGTTGGAGGTGTTGCTCGATTCCTTCATTATTTTGGGAGGACTAGCCTTCTTTAAATTGATGTCAGATGGGTGGCCTGTGTTCCTCCCTCCTCTTTCACGTGCCACTAGGGGGAGCTCTTTTCAGGGTCAGGTGGCCTTCTAATTCCTGCTTGTGAGTGCTTTACTCCACTAGCATGTTCTTGTTGGACCTCTCCAAAAGTTATTCCAAGTCTAATGGGTAGTTAATACAAAGGTTGTATGAGAAACTCTCAGACCTCAATGCTTGTTCAAGGTGGCTACGACCCCGTCTACTTTGAGGTCTTTTATCTTTAACATTTCTTGCAAGAAACATGTGATGAATGCGCAGAGGCTCTCATGTTCTCCTTGCTTGAGTTGCCACAAGAACTGGATGCTTTTGTTGGGTCTCCATGCACAAGTGAATTGTGCTAAGAACAACCTCTTGAAATTAGCAAATCTACCGTTGCTCTCGATTATAAGCCCATGGAACCACTTCAAGGGCGAAGGACTCATGGTGGCGAAGAACAAACAACACTTGAACACGTATGAGACCTTGAGTAAGCACATGACCTACTCAAATGCATCAATATGGTTGTTATGGTCTGCTGCCCTCTATAAACTTACAAAGCCAATAGTTTGAATTTTTCTAGGTGCTCTGCAGAGATTTGGAGGGAGAAAGAGTTCTCCGGTTGTCATGGTGCTTCAGTGTGACTTGCTTGTTGCCTTTCCACTTGTGTGGATCCCACACTGTCTTGGTATTAGGAGTCTTTGGTCTTTTTAGGACCAGGTTTGCCTTCCGACCATTATGTACCAATGCCACTCCCTGAGGTGGGTTCTGCCCTTGCTAGGCCTGGGCTCCTACAAGGGATGCGACGGCCCTGAAGAATTTAGTGATTTGACCCATCACCCATTTCATGATTTGGGTCCTCATCTCCTACATTTTTCTCTATATGTGTTTCTCTATGTTGTCTCACGGGGGATTTATGTTAGCTACTACCCTTTGATCACTTCCATCTCTATGGGATCTCTATGCTCCACTTCTTATTGATGACATGATTCCACGCTCACTACAACTTTTAGGATATTGAATCAAAATCTGTCTGAGAGACACGATCAACGAATAAAGCACTCAAGATTGAAAGAGAGAGTGAGAGAAAGGGATAGCACAGTGTTGACGGTAAAACTGCGTAACATTTATTCATGAATGGATCGCCTATTTATAGGAATTGTTCTTAATATAATTACATATTGTACCCTTACGATGTAAGTATAGTGGGGGTACTTTTGTCTACATGTGAATTTAGCCCATGGGTCCACAAAATCTGACCGACTGGCTTTTGGTTGAACGTGTGTGGAGTCTAGAGGCCGCACAACCAAATGGTCACTAGCTCTGCCAGCTATTTGCTAGGAGCAGGGGTCTTCACCTCTGAGGCTTTGAGAACCATCACTCTTTACCATTTTGGCCGGGTTGGCTGATGATGGTTTTGTCCTGTTGGATATGATTAGCTGGATCCTTCAGAGGTGATCTCCCCCTTCCATTTGAGGTGCACCACTACTGTGTTATAATGACCTGTCAAGTCGGGCAAGTATTCTTAGGTTGTCCATGATAGGGCATGCGAGGTCGCTTCACCCTTCTTACCATCAGTGAGATATCTTTGTGTTTCGTGCTGTCACTTTTTTTGATGTACATAACCTATAGTTATTCTCATAATATTCAAAGTAATGATAGTTAATGCTCAGGGAACGTCATAAGTATGAGTGACTATGAAACCTTAACTAAGTACAAAATAAGATCTTTAATAAGCCAACAAATTTCCACATTCACATATATTAGAGTCATCATAATAAGATAATTTAGTTATAAATATTAATTTATCCTTTAGGAATGAGTACGCAATAGCTTACAACTTATACTTAATAAGTTAGATAACATAAAAGGAGCTTATGATATATGAATGTTTTTATTTTTAAATTTAAATGATCAAGTATTATTTAAAGTTAAAAACCAATGATACAATATTTAAACTAGAAGGAACATCACTAATATTCCATTACAAATGACATCACATATCATACTATTTTATAATTACATACGAAATTATATGATTACATCTAAATTTTTATACATTCATGATCAACTTAATCACTCAAAATCACTCTAAATTAAGATAATATAGTGTCAATTAGTACCGTCATGAGAATACAAATTGTTATCCCCAAGTGATCCAACATTAAATCGCCTTCAACTATGAATTAATATCATAAGACAACTTTAGCCTTCAAAGGCTGATGCCCTCGCTTCAATAATCAACCACTTCACCATATGAAAATTTATCTAGGAGAGTTGAACTCATCCAATCATCCATCACTCATCCAGTCATCCATCACTCATCCAATAGAGACGATTATGGTATGTTTCTTATATTTTGAATGATGGATAAATTTCTTTTTTTCCTTGTAGTTGCTTTTCAAAGATACAAAATAATCAACAAACTAATTGTAAATTTAAGAGGTAGATCCAGTAAAAACTAATGATAAATTGATAAATTTGTTATTGGATTCTGAACAACATTTCCAACGAGATTTCATACGAGCTTGAGAAGTCGAGCTTGAGATATCAAATTGCAAGCAATAACACAGAATGATAGGCCTAACAACAAGAAAAACATTCAATAATGCACAACAATAACTCCACTCTCTCACAGATTGGTTGAAACAACCAGAAAATATAATCAGTCTTTAATTATAGACATTACTTGATCAATCAAAGGACTCAACAATATCAAGATTCAACAATATCTTTAGAATGCTGATTACTTGGTTCTAACCCAATGCTATATTTAGGCTATACGAACCTTTCATTTTTTATATTCTTTTTTCAATTATGTCTTGTTTCTTCTGCGGCTTTTGCTAGCCATAGCGCTTGAAACCCATATCACTTTCAAATATGAGATTCTAGGGTCTCGCCTTTTCTCCATCTTCCTGTATTGTTTGATTGTACTCCATAAAGTGCTTTAATTAATTAGCTTTCCCCATCTCACATATTTTTTTGTGACTTTTTATATTTTTTTTTTGAATCAATACAATTTAAAACTATCATATCAACATAACAAAATTCAATAATTATAACACTAGAAATTAAATATTATTTTTTTGGTCGGGTGACCGGCATGCTTTAGTCCAATATGAAATTTTATATCAAATAAGATTGAACCGTCGCGTTGGAGTCCCTCTAGAAGATTATTGTAGACTTGAGATAAGGGGCTAGAGGTGTCAAAAATTGACCCAATAAACTAATTTGACTCGAACCCGATTTAAAAAAAATTCATTAAGGTTGACCTGAATATTTTTCGGGTTTAGCTTAGATTAAAGATTCTAACCTACTTAATTTTGAGTGTTGGGTTCGTGTTTCTGCCAACTCAAAAATAGCTCACAAATTCTAAATTAAAATGCCAACCATAAATTGATCCTAAATTAGCCCAAAATTGGCCCGAAATTGATCAAAATTTAACACAAATAAAGATTATTTGTTATGTTAAATGAGTTATATGGGTGATATTCAAGTTGGTGGGCAGAGAAGTTTGAGCTGTGTAACATTTGGGTTGGATTTGGATAAATTTTTTTTTGCGTCCGATTCCAAGCGCACCCATTTACGATGCGAGAGCAAAGGCCATATTTTCATTCCGCCCCACAAATTCTCACAAATGCCGGCATCGGCCAACTCATCGCAACGATGCAACGATACAATCCCTTCTCTCATTTTTGTTCGTAAAACCACTTCCGAGACTGTTAAAAAGTCTCACCGAAACCCTAAATTCCCCATCGTTTATAGCCCCTATCCGGCGTCCCTCTACGTAGCGGCTTCTGCAATTTCTCACATATTTTCAGAATTTCTGTTTCTCAGGTCGGCTTCCTTGACTTATTTAGGGTTTCCCTTCCTGTAATTTTTTATTCTTGTTCATCTCGCCTGGGTGATTTCCACTTGATCTGATCTTAAACATATTTTTTTTCTGAAAGTCTATATTTTTTGGAACTGAATATGATTAAGTCGCGCTCCCCTTTCGTGGTTCTACTCGTTGATTGCACCTTGCGGTTTTTTTGCTTGATTTCCATTCCATTCCGATTGCCACTCTTTTAGCGTAGAGGGATTGTAGTGAACTGAATATATAGATCTAAAGTTGCCACCCAGTTTAATTCTTATTTTGCTTCGAAGTAGTTCAGGCTTTTCCATTCGGTAGAAGTTCCTTTTTCCCCCGTTTTTTTTGGCATTTTTTGTTAATACATGAAGGCATATTGAACGAAGTGTACCATTCCCCAGTTTGAGGTGATCCTGCTTCTGTTCTGTTTGCTCCATCTCTGTTTGAAGACTTCAGTTTTGAGCTTGATCTCTGCATAACATCGGGCAGGTGGTCCCCCTTAGCCATCGAGAGATGGGGAGTCGTCAAAATTTTAATCCCGCCATATTTACGTAAAATACGAGGACTGCATATGGTGGGATTTGTAGTTACATATGAACGTTCCACGGTGGATGGTATTATGTTAAAACATTGAAATGTGAGCACTTCTTAGATAGTATTTTCTGTGCACGGTATTATGTTAAAACATTGAAATGTGAGCACTTCTTAGATAGTATTTCTGTGCACTGACATTTAAGTTAATAGTTCTGAGCGTGATTATGGTTTTTCATCTAAATAATTCTTTTAAATTGGTCATATTGTTTTGGAGAACATTCTTATAACATTTCTAATGAAATGTTATGTTTAAGGCCCCGTTTGCGGCGGCGGTAGGGAAGCGGCGCGGCGCGGCGCCGCAATATTTTGCTGTTTGTGGCGGCGAAGTAGCAGCGGCGTGGCACGTTTAGGGTAAAACTCGGGTCGTGGTTTTGACCCTGCAACTCGCTTTTCTTGTTGGGCTTTTTACGCTAGTGCCCTCTTTTCGATTACGCCCTAACCCTCTTTCTCCTCGTTCGACTTTTAATGCAAAGTGGAAGCTGCAATCTATTGCTCCTCTTCCTAATCTTCTCCCACATTGCTCACGCTCTTTGGTTCCTCTACCTCCTCTTCTCTTGCGTTTCTCACGCTACCTGGTTCCTCTTCGACCTCTTCCTCCACTGTTCCTCAGTAGTAAAAACATTTTCTTCAACAGATGCGAATGCTTGTTTGTTGGATTTGTGATGTTAGATTTGTAAATGTTGTTCAGTGGTATAAATGTGTTGTATGGATGTGAATGCTAGATGTTAAATTGAATTCGTGGTGGCTCGATTTTGGGCTTGGTAAGTTGTGTGAAAAATTATTTTTTTGAGGATGTTGCTTGGGGATGACAGCAATCTGATGTTAGATCTTTGAGTGAGGGTCTATATTAGTTTTGACATGGTCATTGACGTGAATACACATCATTTGGGTGGTCTGCATGAGGATCTAACAAAAAAAAAAGAAAAAAAAAATTATTGTTGGTGCGGCTTGGGCATTGATGTTAGATTATTCTTATTGTTCTTTGAAGTTCTTGGTGGCCATGGCTTGGGCATTGATTTGATACATATCAATTGGGTGGTTGTGGCTGAATTTTAAAATTAATATTATCATTTTCTTAAATGTAATTTTCATACTTTTTTTTTTAGTACACTTGGTATTCATTGTTATGTTAGGTGTGTATTTTATTTTTTCTATTATTCTGAAGAAGTTTTTGTTTCTCAAGTATCAAATATATTGCTATGACAGTTCTGTTGCAAACAACATTACTGCACATGGGCAGAATGGTCATTTATCCAGAAATAGCTGCCATGCAGCTGTTTTCAAACTGTATAAAATAAACAGCAGTCAACTTCTTTGCAGCAGCTTCCTCGCAACAACTTCCTGGGGCAGCTATTGCAAATCAGCTTATTGGATAAGCTGCAACTGCCCCAAACAGACCCTTCACGGATGTGTTTTGAACTTGTGTTCTGCCTTTGCAGTTGATGCTCTAAACCATTCAATCTTCCTAACAGTTATATGTTAGATGAATGAGAAATCAGGCTACATAATTTCTCTTGCTGTAAATCTATCTGATTTTACTTTTTCCAATCTTATTGCAATTTTGTTTTTATCTACTTTCTTGAAGCAGCCTTTGATGAACAATTGAAATATGTATTTACATAATTGTGAACTTATTAATTTGCCTTTTATTTTCCTGCCATACAGTACTTATTGGTGATGACACTTTAAGAAAAGGAAATGGCTTGGATAGTGAGATGTTTTATTTAGAAGGAACATGGGTAAAATTATGTACACAACCTCTGTTGTTTGATTATTCTTGAGGAACTGAGGTTTGGAACTAGTTTACATGTGCTGCATGGACAAACCTCGGAAAATTTAACTTGTGATAGTGATTCATTCATTAAAAAATTTCGTGGAATTGACTTTGTTCTTGGGAGCTATGAATTTGCTTTCTGAAGGGAATTCTCAACTTCAGTTCTATGCCTTGCTCAAATAGTATTATTTGGCTAAAGAAATGATAAATATGGATAAATTATCGTTTATTTTTTCTGTTAATTAGGAGCTTCTGGAACATTCTTGGATTCATATGCCCCAAGCATTTACTAGATGCAAGATGATAATATGGAGGGAGAGTGAAGGTTGCCTTTTGAACCGTGTAGCAAAGATTTTGCGATGAGTCATGGGGATTTACCCATCAAACAACTCGCTTCTGCCTCTTTCCATCGGATAGTCATTTCATTTACTTTTGTTCACTTTGGATGTCCTTGTAGATAAACTAGGACCATTTCTTGTTATATTATTTCAATATGAGCCCATCTTCCTTATTATCCTCAAATTTGAGGCATGTAACCTATACATTGAAATAGCAGAGTTGCCAGACCTTACAAAAAATGCATGCTTATATTTTCTTGGGTGGCTAAGGGAAAAATCTCGGCGTGAATTCAAATGTTGCATGTATTCATTTTTTCTTCTATTTAATCTTGCACATTAATATGTCTATTTATTGCATGTGTTGTATATACTTATGATATAGTTCTTCCTTGCACTATGGCAGATTAAGTAATGTCTTCAGAACTTTTGGTGGTGCCAGAGGCACAGGTACCAGCTTTGTCCATGCAGTCAGAAACTGCTGAGTCAACTGTTTCAAAGCCTACTTGCAGTCTAACATCATCGGAGGGTGGACCAAGCAGTAATGTTGCAGTTCCAGTTACAGAATCTCCAACTATAAATTCCGGCTCGGAAGAAATAGTAACTGTATCGCCTCCTCCCATGAGCTCACCAGCTCAAAGGGCTATTCATGGTACTGCAAGTGACTCATTACAAGATTCTGTTCGGGCAAAATTTGTTTCCTCACCTGGCTATGTTGTCCCTCCACCTTCTTTTTCTTACAGTATATTTCCTAGGGTGAACTTTGCCTCTGGGGCCCCTCAGCAAACTTCGTCTTCTCCTGTTAGTTTTGTTACTTGTGCTAAGCCTTTGTATTCTGCCCTTAACTTTATCTAACTGGTTTATTTGGTTTGGTTTTTGCGCAGGCTTTAAAATTAACTCCCCAAATGTCTCCAGCTGCTCTACAGCCGCCAGTTCCTGGGCAATCTTTAGGAAATAGACCATCTTTTTCATACAGCGTTGTTCCACTACCAAATGCTAGCCCTGTTTCCGGTCAGCAGTTTCAACCCGCCGCTGTAATTCTCAAGTGCTTTTAATACTTTTAATGTTTGCTTCGTATGCTACCTCCCTTTGGTTCAATATGGTTGAAAATAGACGGAATCATTTTTCTCATTTTTTTTATATATGTCTTGCCATTAGGTGAACAATCAAAGGCAGCTGTTGACTGGAAATTCTGTCCCACCTTCACCATCAATGGCTGCTGCATGTTTGCAGCCTCAAGTACCCTGCCAACCTATTTGCCCTGATGCATCCATTTCTGCAACTGTTCCACAGAATTTTCCACCACCCATTCAGTTACCAGTTCCCCCTCCCAAGGGCCAGCTATCACCTTCAACAAACTTTTCTTTTGGTGGGGGTTCTAGGCCAACAATAATGGATGCTTCTGTCAAGTATTTGCCATCCAACACAGTATGTTTCTTTGGTTTTAATGTGGTGTAATTAATATTATTTTTTATTTATAAATCTTTAGATTCGACTTATGTTAAGAAAGGCAGAGGTAGACCTAGGAAGACTGGGCTTTTTGTATAGAAAATGATCTTATTTTATTAGAACTAATCGAAAATATGATACTAAATAGGACGCAATGGAGAAAAAGGATTCATGTAGCCGACCCCACGTAGTGGGATTAAGGCTTTGTTGTTGTATTTATAAATCTTTAGTTACTCAAGTTCTCTATTTTCACTAAAAGGTTATCTACCATTTGTATGTTTGCAGTGCACTTCTGATGCAACGCCTTTGGATATTGGCATGACTTCAGTTTCTGCTAGTTTAGATTCGAAGGTGTCTCATGATAAGCATGCAAGTTCATCCATAGGCTCAACAATCTCTCCTATTTCTAACGTATCAAGCATGTTGCCGCCAACTGGTTCTTTGATAAATGGTCATCTTCCAATGGTTGAAATTTTTACTGACAATAATCTGCCTAAAACACCTAATCCTGCTACTGTTCAACCAGCAAAGCCTGGGACTTCATCAGCAACAATGAGACCTATTCAGCATAATCAAGTTCTTGCACCTTCAAGTCAATCTTCTATCACAAACCCAACTCCACCGAATGTACCTCAACAAATTTATCCACATTTGCCTTCAATGCAGGCCCAAATACTACCTTCTCACGCTCATTGGCTTCCTCCTCAGGCTACTGGGGTACAATGTCTTCCCTTGTCACAATATCCAGCTGTGCTTCCTGGTCCTTCCTCTTTCTCACTGAGGGGCATGCCTCCACCCTCGGTTCCTTTTCCTGATGTACGACCTCCTGGTGTTTTCCCTGAGGTGAACTGTGGAGAAGCATCTTCCTCCACGCTGGAGTCATCCTTTCCTGTAATGAATACTGGAGCAGGATCACCTCATGATGCTGGTATGCTACTTTGCAATGACATTTTTGACTTTTCCGTATATTAAGTTTGTCCATTATTCTGATTCTTTGTATGCAGCTTCTGAAAAGGAAGTTAATGACACTCAGGAGGATGGTAACAGTAAAAGTGAAGAATTAGAAGCTTGGACAATGCACAGAACTGAGACAGGTGTTTTATATTACTACAATACTATTTCAGGAGAATCTACTTATGAAAGGCCTTCCAAGTTCAAAGGAGAGGTAATGCGCTTTTGACTTGTCATTAAAAAAAAGTAGTGTCATTTTTGGTGAAATAGTTATTTTTATCATTCCTTTGGTATGTTATCCTCTCTTTTCTTTATGCAGCCTGAGAAGATTGCACTTCAGATTATTCCAGTGTCATGGTATGTATTTAATAACCACATTTTAGAAACTTATTCATCGTTTTTTAATTTAAAGATTTCCTTTATTAGCTTTCGTCACTGCTATGGTTATAATTGTAGTTATGGCTGTAGTTGATTTTGTAAAGTGTGCGGATTAGGTTGAGTTACTTTTTGTACATTTTAATCATTTATTTTTGCAAACTCCTTGAAGATGTTAACGGCAAAGCATCAATTATAGGTCTGCATGACAGAACAAGGAAATAACAAAAATTGTTATCAAAGTTGTAAAATGTTCTTTAAAAGCTTCAGGTAGTGATTATTACTAAATTTATACATTTAGAGGTTGAAGTACTTATTAAGAGCGTTGAATGGTCTATCGACCTTAGTTATAATTAAGTGCTTTATGTAATTTTGTTTGTATTTTATTGAACATTTTTTTGGTTTTCTCATTTTGATTATGAGTAACTGTTAATTAAACCCTATAGCATTCCTTCTATTGTGAACATGACATTTCTTTCTGTTGTTTTTAAGTAAAGGCAATTGGTGTATGCTAAATTTAAGCTTTGAGCCTAGCTTACTTGCAACTTTGTGAGGTTTTTGATTCTCTAGCAACCGTGCTCGTCGGTTTATTTATATATATGTATCTATAATGCAAGCAATATATAATGTCTAGAATATATATTTTCATCACAGAAAACTTATTTTAGACCTTTATGCAATTTATTCGAGTCATGAAGGTTTAGAGGAAATTGATACATTTTCTGAGAAAAATAATTCACTCAAGTTATGTGGTTAGCATTTATGAATATCGGAAATGTTTTCCGAGATGTGCATGTTAGTTATTCCTTAAGTTTGGCTTCATCACCATCTTCAAGAAATTCTTTGTAGAGCTTTAGAAATGCAAATAGGTTTTTTGTTCAATATGGATTTATTTAAAAGTAAAAGTAAAGATTTAACTCAACTAAAGTGTATTAAAGATGAAAATCAAAAAGTACTTTTTTTTAGAAAAAGATATTCAACATAGGTGGGTGAGTTACTTTGATAAACTTTTTAATGAAGTTTCTGAAAATACGATCGACCTTAGTGATTTTAATATCGTGAATAATAATAAAACGTTTCATTTTTACCGTCGCATTAGCAAAAAAGAAGTTGAGGAGGCTTTAAAGAAAACCAAGGGTGGAAAGTCTGTAGGACCTGATGATATCCCAATTAGTGTGGAAATATTTGGGAGATTTAGGAGTTTCTTGGCTTACTAAACTCTTTAATATTATTTTAAAAACTAAAAAGATGCCTGAGGAATGGAGGAAGAGTATTTTGGTCCCATTTTTAAGAATA